GGTTTTCTACATATAATATTATGTCATCTGTAAGTAGTTACAGTTTTATTCCTTCCTTTCACATTTAGATGCCTGTTATTTATTTTTCTTGCCTAATTTCTCTGGCTAGGACTTCCAATATGTTAAATAAAGGTGGTGAGAGTGAGCACCCTTGTCTTGTTCTTGATTTTAGAGGAAAAGCTTTCAGTTCTTCACCATTGAATATGATGTTAACTGTGGACTTTCATATATGGTCTTTATTATGCTGAACTCTTTTCCCTCTATAACCACTTTGTAGAGTTTTTATCATAAAAGGATGTTGAATTTTGTCAAATGCTTTTTCTGCATCTATTGAGATGATCCTATAATTTTTATGTTTTATTTGTTATATGATTAATCATGTTGATTTCACTCGGTAGATGTTGTTAAATCAAGACATATTTGTGAATTTTCCAGTTTTATTTTATTTTATTTTTTTTTGCAGTACGCGGGCCTCTCACTGTTGTGGCCTCTCCCGTTGTGGAGCACAGGCTCCAGACGCGCAGGCCCAGCGGCCATGGCTCACGGGCCCAGCCGCTCCGCGGCATGTGGGATCTTCCCAGACCGGGGCATGAACCCGTGTCCCCTGCATCAGTAGGCGGACTCTCGACCACTGCGCCACCAGGGAAGCCCCCAGTTTTATTTTTGTAACTGATTTTTTTGTTTGTTTTTGTTTCATACCATTGTGATTGGAAAAGATGCTTGACATTTCTGTCTTTTATAATTTATTAGGACTTGTTCTGTGGTCTAACATGTGATCTGTCCTGGAGAGTGTTCATGTGTGTTTGAGAAGAATGTATATTTCGCTGCTGTTGGATGGCATGTTCTATATATGTCTGTTAAGTTCATTTGGTCTAATGTGTCATTAAAGGCTGATGCTTCCTTATTGATTTTCTGTCTGGATGACCTATCCATGGATGATGGTGGGATATTACAGCCTCCTCCTGTTATTGTACTGCTGTTTCTTTCTCCTTTTAGATCAGTTAATATTTGCTACATATTTTAGGTGCTCCTGTGTTGGGTACATAAATATTTACAGATGTTATATTGTCTTGTGAATTGATCCCTTTACCACTATGTAATGCCCTTTGTCTCTTATTACAGTCAAGTCTGTTTTGGTTATATAATATAGCTACCCCAGCTTTCTTTTGGTTTCCATTTGCATGGAATATCTTTTTCTATCCTTTGATCTTCAGTGTGATGTGAGTCTCTTGTTGGCAGTATATCATAGGTCTTTTTAAAAATATCCATTTAGTCACTCTGTGTCTTTTCATTGGCAAATTTAGTCCATTTACGTTCAAAGTAATTAATGATAAGTATGTACTTACTGCCATTTTGTTAATTATTTTCTGGTTGTTTTGTAATTTTTGTTTCTTCTTCTCTTGCTCTCTTCCTTTGTGATTTGATTATTTTCTTTAGTGGTATGTTTAAATTCCTTTCATTTATCTTTTGTGTACTACTATAGGTTTTTGTTTTGTGGTTACCATGAGACTTATATATAACAATTTTTATTTATAACAGTCTATTCTAAGTTGATAACAATTTGTGTTTGAATGCATTCTAAAGCTCTGCATTTTTACTGTCCCCAGCCTCATTTTGTTTTTGATGTCATATTTAAGTTTTTTAATCTTGTATATTTCTTAACTAATTGTTGTAGTTATAGTTATTTTTGCTACTTTTGTCTTTTAACCTTTATACTAGCTTTCTAAGTGATTAATGGACAGCATTTGATTATTCTACATTTTACTATATATTTACCTTTATCATTGAGATTTATACTTTCATATCTTTTCCTGTACTAATTAGCACCCTTTCTTTTTAGCTTAAAGAAGTCCCTTTAACATTTCTTGTAAGGCCAGTTTAGTGGTTATGCACTCCTTTAGCTTTTGCTTGTCTGGAGAACTCTATCTCTCCTCAGTTCTGAAAGACAACATTGCAAATTAGGGTATCTTCAGTTGGCAGTTTCTTTTCCAGACTTTAAATATATTATGCCATTCCCTTCTGCCTTCAAAATCTCTGCTGAAAAATCTGCTCATAGTATTATGGGGCATCCTTTGTATGTACCAAGTCATTTTGTTCTTGCTGCTTTTAAGATTCTCTCCTTGTCTTTAACTTTTTTTTTTTTTTTTTTGTGGTATGTGGGTCTCTCACTGTTGTGGCCTCTCCTGTTGGGAGAGGTTCAAGCCCTTCACTCCTCAGGGAGGAGCTCCGGGTTTTGAGTTCACTCCCAACTGCCGGTTGCCTTGCTGGCAGTGGGTTTATGGTGAGATTGTGTCTCAGCCTCTTCTACCTGCTTCATTGTGTTTTGTTTTGTTTTTTTTCATTTGCCCAGTGTGTAGGAGTTGCTCAGCTAGTTTTTAGGTCCCCCCCCGCCCCCCCGAGGAAATTGTCCTGTATGTAGATATAGATTCTGTGTGTCCATGGGAGGAAGTGAGTTCAGGATCTTCCTACTTTGCCATCTGGAACCAGAACTCTCTTTTGTTATTATTTTAATATAAGCAGCCAACAATCTTTAAAGAAATTTAATAATATACATATAGAAAATAGGAATTATATTTTTAAAGATACTTTATATTTTCTGATCTATTTGCTCTTTATTTACGGATTCTTTTCTGCAGAACCAGGATTCTAAGATACACACATACATACACACACACACACACACACACACACACACACACACACATTTCTCAGAGTCCAGGACTGATGGAGACCCACATCTACTTTATTTTGTAACTTGGATTGCATCTGGCTTAACTAATCTATACCTTGCCTCCTATTTTGTCAAAGGGAATGTTTATTTTTATACCTTAAGCTTTCTTGTGAACCATAAATCCTAATTTCCTGTTTTTATTTATTCAGAGTTTATATCAAGTTGCTCCCAGATTTTTCATTTTTTTTTTGAAAATAGCTTATCCTTAAAACGTATATATATTTTAACTAATACTGTTGTATTGCAAGCAGCCTGAAAATTTAGTAGTATAAAGTCATAACCTTTAACTTTTCTCATGATTTTGTGTGTTAGGAATTTGGGAAGGCAGTTCTAACTTGTGGGTTTCTCATAGTTTTCATCAGATGTCATCTGGGGCTATAGTTATCTGAAGGTTCTACTGGGCTATGCATCTACAATGGTTCACTCATATGGCTGAGAGTTGATGCTATCTGTTGGGAGCTCAGGTGAACCTGTCAACTGTAGCACTTACATGCTGTTTGTCCAGCAGAGTGGCCTTGAGATAGTAGGATTTTTTTACTTGGCAGCTGGTTTTCTCCAGGGCAAGTGTCCTGAGAATCATGCAGAAACTTTTCAGACTTTTAAAGTGTTTTTTAGACCTATTCTTGGAAGTCATGTAGCATCACTTCTACCATGTTTCATTGTTTGAAGCAGACACAAGCCTACCCAGATTCAAGGGGAGGTGACATAGAACATATGATGCGTGTCGGAAGAACCTGTGGGCAATATTTTAAACAACCTATTTAAATAACCTCATTGTTATTTAAACTTTGCATATACTATACTTTATATATAAAATGTACTTTACATATAACAAGCATAGATTTTAAGTGTTGAGTTTAATCAGTTTTGACAGTTGTATAGACCCATGCATCTACCACCTGAAGAAAGGAAGAGAACATTTTTTCTCTCTGTAAAGTTTCCTTGTGCTTCTTTCAAGTCAGTCCCCTCCCCCCTCTTCCATAGAGGCAACCACTGTTTGACGTCATTTAGGTACGCGGGCCTCTCACTGTTGTGGCCTCTCCCGTTGCGGAGCACAGGCTCTGGACGCGCAGGCTCAGCGGCCATGGCTCACAGGCCCAGCCGCTCTGCGGCGTGTGGGATCTTCCCGGACCGGGGCACGAACCCGTGTCCCCTGCATTGGCAGGCGGACTCTCAGCCACTGCGCCACAGACCCAACTCAGCCAAAAATAAAGAACAGACTAATAAATAAATTTATAAAAAAAAATTATCAGGGTATCTTTAGGAGTATTGTTGTATTATTATTCAAACTCATAGTGTTTCTATGCCTAAAGATCTTTGATAAAATTTACTTCTCTCTCACGATTTTCTGTTAAGCTTCTTGGATTAAGGAGCCTACAGCCTATAGGATCTACTAGAGGGAGCCTATAGTCTATAGGAACCTACAGCTTATAGGGTAAAGAAAGAATGGAATGGTATCTTATCAAGAAAACCACTCTATCTACATCATTCATCATTTTAATTACATAAAAGCTCAGAATGAAAATTTAGAGATGGCTAAAGTTAAAAAAATTGGAAATTACCCCTCAAAACCAACTTCTCCTCTCCACTATTCCTCAAATCTCATCCACTAGAGGTAAAAAACTATTACTTTCCAAATTTCTTCTGTGTGTGCATGCATGTATCTGTGTAGGAGAAAGAGGATTGTGTTGTTGGAGGACTGGACCTTCATTATTGACTACAAATTTGAGCTCAGTAATGAGGACACTTATGCCCTTACTAGGTGACTCTAACTCTGAGATATTGCTACTGTTGCCAAAAGGGAGTGAGAGTCATTGTGTCAACTATTGTAGATAGTTGTCTGCTCTTTGGCTATAGGCAAGTTACCTCTATTCCAGTTAGGAGTGGAAGACTGAAGTAAACCACAGTGCAGGCTTGGAAAGGATCCTATTTTTGTAAGGAAAGGCTAGGGCCTCTGCTATGAACATGGGTGATTTGTTAGAATATGCTGTTGAGACTACCATTCAGATAATATTCAATATGAGGATTATTAGATTTGCCTCATGAATTGTGCCCAGTGGTCCTGAATACAAAACAAGATTAATTTGAATATGTAGAGAAGAAAATAATCTTGGGATTGGTAAGGGGCTGACTTTTTAAAACAGGCTGATGGTGTCAATTGCAAATTTAAAATCTGTATCTGCTACATAAATTTCCAGTTGTGTACTAGATTAATGGTGGTACCTTGGGAAATTAGGTCAAAATAAGTGGACAAATTATGAATCATACATGATAACGATAATAAACAAGACATTTATTTTTGATATTCATTTGGAGGAAGGGAGAAAAGTCAGTTTGCTCTACCCAGTGATGGTTTTTCTGAAGGAGTCTCCATTCATTCTGTAAAATTGAATAGGTTGTTTAATCTCAGGGGATTTTATGCTGTTAATTCATAAAGAGAACTTCCTTTGATGAGAGTGGTTATAGGGTAAGCCTTTGTGAGCAGCTTCGCTGGTGCACAGCCAGACTCCCTCTCTGAGTGAAGCTTTTCCCACACTGGCCACACAGATAGGGTGTCTCTCCTGTGTGGATTTTGCCATGCAGGATACAATTCCCTCTGGTGTGGAAACTCTTCCTGCATTGTGTGCAGGCATAGGGTTTCAGGCCTGTGTGGACTCTGATATGAACAATTAAGCTTCCTTTCTGACTGAAGGCTTTTCCACACTGATCACATCTATAGGGCTTCTCACCACTATGAACTCTTCTGTGAACAGCGAGGTTACTTTGATTCCTGAAGCTTCTCTGACAAATAGCACACTCATACGGTTTCTGTCCAGTGTGGAGTCTTTCGTGAACGGCCAGACTACCTCGTTGACTAAAGCTTTTCCCACACTCCTTGCACTGATAGGGCTTCTCTCCTGTGTGTATTCGTTGATGTGTAACAAGATTGCCTTTGGCTCTAAAGCTTTTTCCACAGTGGGTACACTCAAAGGGCTTCTGACCAGTGTGGATTCTCTCATGTAATGTCAGACTACCCTTTTGCCTGAAGGATTTTCCACATTCCTGGCACTCATAGACCCTCTGTCTCACTCCAGGTGAATCTTCCTGTAGTGTCTTAGAATCTGGGGATTTTTGTTCCAGCTTCTCTCTTCTGAAAGAATTCTGGAAATCCCAGCTTGAGGATCCTGTGGCCTCAGAGTGATCATATTTGTGGTGGGCTTCTGTCATCACATCTGGTAAAATGAGAGGGAAGTCATGTAAGAGGCACCAATATGCTGAGTGAGAAGAACAGGGAAAAAAGAAACAATGCTTTGAGTGCTTATAATGTGTCAGATATTATACTATAAACTTTGCATAGATAATTTAATCCTGAAAACAATCTATTGCTACAGTTAAGGAAGTGAAAGTATAGGGAGGTTGTCAAAGATTGTGCAGCTAGGTAAGCATAGACTTGGGATTCAGGCATGCTCCATAGCAGTGTACTGCCTCTAAATTTAGTTTAATTTAGCCTCCCAAATACTATTGTGTATAGACATGGTTATTTCCATTTTACAGATAAGAAAACAGGCTCAGAAAAATTAAGAAAACTATATACGATCAAATAAGTGCCATACCCAAGTTCTGACACCAAAACAGGTGTGGATCCAGGTTGTGTAGGGCCTAAAGCTTTAAAATTTTGGACGGATTCCATTAAGAAACAGTATAAAAGTAGGGACAAGGCCTTGAAGAGACCAGTGTAAGGGAAAGATCCTGAACCTTGTTTCATTAGTTTCATGAGAAATCTACTTCTGCTCTAGTCTGCTCTCCTAACAGTGGAGTAAGCTCCATGATATCAGAATATATGTAGCAGAATCCTTGGTACTTTACATCTATTAATTCTAATCCCTGCACCCTGCAAGATAGAGCTTATTGTCCCATTTTACAGATGAGGAGGCTGGAGCACAAGAAAGTTAAATAACTTGTCCGATACCACGGATTAAGTCAGGGCTATCACAGAATCTGATCCAAGGAATTTTTCCCTTTAAAATCCATGCTATTTCAATCTGCTAAGCTATGGTGGAACTGAAGTCTATTTTGGTTTGGAAGTTATTCTCAACACTTCCTATGCAGATATTGACAGTACTCTCCAGTATTGCCCTGCATGTGAGCCTTCTACTGCACTTTAAATATGGGTCCATTCATCACTAATAATAGTTTTCTTGGAGTCATCCTAGGGAGATTTCAACTTGTTATTCAATGATTGTGCTGAGATTTAAAACTGCTCATTCATTCTCTCAGAGACTACCTCCATATCAAGACTGTTGTGCTCTGTTTCTACTATTTCTAACTCCCGCTTGTAGGCTTTCCCTGTAATCCCTAGAAACGGTGAGCTCCACCAAAGGAACATCTTCTCTGCATCCTCAGCCTGTTGACTAGTGCTGAGGACAGGGACACTGATTATTGTGAGTTGAGGGCATCCCAGCAATCAACTGACTCACTGAAAAATGCTACATTCTGGGCATATCTTCCATGGCAGTCCAGCAGAGTAGCTGTTGGAAATCCAAACATGTCCACTCCTGCTGTATGACCTTAATCACCACCTCTTCATATGATTCTTCCATGGGCTGTTCTTGAGTACCTGGGGAGGGAAAAACAAACAAACAAAAACAAAACAGAACAACAAAAACAAACAGGAAAGGACAGGAGAATTGATAAGTGAGGAGAATAAAGTCAACAGGAGCTCCAGTTTGGGGTATGAGTGAATGGAGGAAATCTTGATTGCCTGATGTAATGTCAGTCACCTACAGTGTAACTGCAAAATGAGCCAAAAGGTACCATGACCACTTATAAATGAGTGCAGGAGGAAGCAGGAGGTGGGAAAGCAGAGAAGACATAAAGCAAACAAGTATCTCTTCTTGCCAGTGCCAAGATAATGGTCCGTCCTATTTGTACCTTAGCTTAGCCTTAGCATGTGATTGGAATTGTCCACTTCCTTCCCCTGCCTAACAGCCTGCTATTTTATCCTCCAAGCCTCCAAAGGAATTCAGAATATAAAAAAAAAATCCAGCCATCATGATTGGTTCTGATTGAAATGGCTCCAGCTCTCCTCTCCAGTCCCCTCTAGGTTATTAGGACAGAACAAGAGATTTCATATTTCCTTTTGGCACTTCTTAGGAGGCTCCAGACGCTTCAAGGTATGAGAATACCAGTTCTGAGGAAGTATAAATACTTGCCAATTCTTGGGAAGAAAAAGACCTACTTCAGACTCCAAAACCAAGCCCAAGGCACACCGATTAGGGTAAGTAACTTGCCCCTATTCCCAGAACCAGTATGGAGTCAAGGTGAGGCAAAGGCTCAAATCCAAGACTTTTTGGATCCAAAGTCTATGTCCAGACAATTCTCTACTTTCTCATCACTAAAAAGCTGGTGAGAATTCTTATAAAATGAAATAGAATGGAACAGAGCTTGACCAGACCTTACTATTCTTCCAGATCCTAGGAATCCTTGTGTTCCATATTATCTTTTTGTATTTTGGGGGGGATATTCTTCTTATTTCAGGACCCTAATTACTGAATACTTACACTTTATTTATGCAGTGGTTCAATGTATAATCTTTGTTTCCCTCTACTATGTCCCATGAAAATGCTGGCCTCCTGATTTAATGAAATAGCAGTGTGATACTACAGTTCTTTGTTAACCCAAACATCTGGTCTTCTTGACAACTGCCCTTTCTGCTACATGTTGTGATGACTGGAGAGGCATTTAAACTCTTTATTTGGAGGACTCAGCTCCAATTTGCAGTACAAGACACAAAGCGATGCCCTATCAGTGTCAGGACACTACAACACCTTTCACTTGTAAGTGGAAGGTGTTACGGCTCAACCGCACATCCATCAAGAGTCAGTGGAAAGTATATAGGTACCTGCTACCTGAGGTTGGACTCTGTCTCTGGTTAGTCCAGCAAATAGTTTGGTCAGAATGTGTGGGCAGCACTTACAGCTGTGCCTCTCCACATGTTGTGAGATATTCAACAAGAAACAGCTCAGCTGTGTCTCAGGAACCTCCTTGATTAATAAAGGGAAGTTGCTATTTTTCTCCCTAGATTCCACAAATCTGAGGAATCTATTTCCTGAAGATTTTGGATAAAGTCACTTTATAGTAGAAAATGTTGCTTTTCCTATCAGAAAGGCCATTATATCCTGTGGAAAGAGCTCAGAATTAGGCCATGAGAGACTTGGATTACCCTTCTCTCCCCTTAAATGACACTGGGCAAGTAACCAAACAGCCCTGACCCTATTTCCTCACTTACTAAATAGTCTGATAACACTGTATTATCAAGTAGCTCTTGGGAGAATAAAAGAACCAAATGTGAAGGGCCTCTGACGTGACCTACAGATTTAAGGCCTAAAGTTGAGAGTCCACAGCAGAGGACTAGGGTAGTTGTTTTCTTGAGGGATAGTTTCAGGATTAGGAGATTCTGGGGAGGGGTGATTATTTTCTCTGCACACCTGAATCCACTTTGTCCTTTCCTATTCTCCACCCAACGAAGTTTGTCCTTTCTCCCTTTCACCCACCTCAGAGAGACTGCACTTTCTCCTGTGCGTCTTCGGAAACCCTCCCCGCGGGCCCCGGGGCACACCTGCCTGTGGTCTCCCCCTCCCGCGTCTCGGGGTGCAGGGCCTTGCTCCACACCTGGCCGTGCTGTGCGGCGGAGGGACCCCTGCTCCTACCGACAGACTCTCCCTTCCCGCCTCAGGTCTGCCCCCACCCCCAAACCCCCGGGCCGGCCCTGCGCGCTGGGCCTCAGCACCCCTTTCTCTGGTGCAGCTGGACCTTTTCCTGCGGGCCGCAGACCTCTCCCCTCTTAGCTGGCTGCCCTGGGGAGCCCAAGCTGGCCAGGCCTACTCAGGGCCGCAGGGGGCTCAGGGACCGCGGCCTGCAGGCGGGGCCCCGCCTCGCTCGGGCGTACGGACCCGGCGGGCGGCCTCACTCACCGCAGCGGCGCGCGCCCGCAGACAGACAAAGGCCGACAACGAGCCCTCAGCAGCGCCGGCGCGAGCGGCCCGGACTACAACTCCCAGGAGGCTCCGCGCGAGCCTGAGCCGGGGGGGTGGGCCGCACTTCGGCGGCCCCGGCTTCCCCGAGTACTGTGGGAAACGTAGTTCGGCGTTGCGACCGGCCGCTCGGGCTCTGCGGGTCTCCAGGTCCCTCTTGTTTGGCCCCGAGCCAGAGATGCCGACTTGTTCGCGGATGTAGAGCGGGGGCCGAGAGCACCAAACGGCCCCTCAGATTAGTCAGGCGTGGGATGGCAGGTTGGTGAAGCCGTCCGCTGAGCCAGGAAATGGAAAATCCAGGGTTCTGAAGCAAAGTGTTGGGAAGAAATGAGTTGATAAAGCCTCGGGTGTTTAGGGGTTTTGCGTTGAGCCGCTGCATGAGCAGAGACTAAATGTGTAATTAGAGTTCTGAGACAAGGAGCAAATATTTCAAGTGAAATCTGTGGGAAAAGAGGACTTGGAACACCACAGGAAAATTTCTAGAGCCTGGAGAGGAGAGCTATGCCCTACTGATCCCATCAGTAAGAATTTGCACCCTAAATAATGGGTAAGAGATCAGGTTTGGAATTGTCCTGAATTTGCTTGTTGGCTCCATCACAACAGTCTGGAGTCAACAAGCAAATTGACTAGCTACAGGATTCTGGACAGGCTTCTTACCTGGTGGAGAGCCCAGGATAGGCTCAGGTGACAGCTACAGGGGCCAGGTGAAGGCTTCTTGAAAGGGCCAGGGTTCAGGCCAGGCCACCCCGCTATCCTGTTGCTTCAGAGCAAAGGCAAGTATGTGAGTGAACCCAGAAAAAAATCGTTCTGTATGTACTCCATGAATTATGGAGAGAAAACAGTATTTTCTAGGGTAATAAATTAAATTTTTTTCTTAACTGTGTGTCTGAAGCATTGAGAAATTGTAAGCCCTGAAAATCGCTCAGTTCAGGGGGCAAGAGCTGTTTTTCATGGGGCTTCTCTGAAGAGCCACAAGTCAAATCCTTGGCCCTGTTGTATGATGCTGGGAGGGGACAAAGGTTGATTTTGAACATCCATGAGTTAAAGGCTCTCTAAATGCCTCAAGCCACCTTCAAATGCATTTTTATAGGATCCTGGCCTCTGAGAGGGAATTTGGTCAGGGAAGACTGGCATTAAAGTTCCTGCGGGCTTAGGCTTCTTGGGCTTCCTTTCTCCGCCTTGGAATCACCTTTGTTTTCCTTCATCCTAGAGCTCTCCTCAGTGTAATTCTCTCCAGGCTGCCTGCTCCAGAGCTCCCACTCAGAGACTAGTCTATCCTATTGAATGAGGAGTTTCACAAGGAATGTTTCCGCTTGCTATGTCCTTGTCCTCTGCACCAAAGCCACCTGTTAAACAAAACAAAACAAAACATTTAATTTCACACGGTGTACAAAGTGTAAGTTATAAGTTGATTCCTAAGTGTCTGTCATTACTATTAGTAACAACACATTGGTACTTAAGTTTGTTGAACCTTTATGTCCTGAGCCCATTTTAAATGTCAGGTACTGTGCTGGGTTCTGGGGACACAAATGTCAACAAGATACACTCTCTTCTCCTAGAAAGGGAGCTGACAGTCTAGTTGAGAAGGCAAAATGAACACTCTTCCTCAAAACCAGGGCCAACAGCTGTCTCACAGAGAAGTCCCTGAGTGTGCAGGAGAAACTGCCCTGAAGGCCCCACTCCATAAAGGCCCCTCAGTACAAATGCAGGGCTCCCTGTGGTGCCTCCTTCATTATTTGTTCCAGAGTCAGAAAGAGAAAGGGGTAGGGCATTAAGGGACGGGCACAGTCACTGCTCTTTCTTTCCTTTTACAGCAGCCACAGACAATTTTCATAGCCCAGGTGGCACCAAGCAAGGGCCAGTCCTTGCACCTGATTGGGTGGTGCTGTATGAGTATCTCTGCTCCCTTCTCTCCCAAGGCTGTGTCAGTAAGGCTGAGTGTGTCACCCAGGGCCCGAAGTCATTTCCCCTGCTGATAAACACCACCATGAGCCTAGAAGTCCTATCAGTTCTGTTGGGGTCAGGATCAGCTGTGGTTGTTAGGACGTTTCAGCTCCCATTGTGAAAGTAGAAGACAAAGCTTTGGTGGGAGAAGGTAACTGTAAAGGGGGAATGTTGTCACCTTTTTCAACAAATCTTAAGGTGTCTCAGGAAAGTGGACACATTGAATAGAAAGTGGAAGAGAAAGCGGTTAGTAATGGAGTTGATGAGACCCAGATGAGACCCACCCACCCCTCCCTTGACAGACACTTAGCAGTCTTTACCCAGATCCTGCGTGGGGCCCAGTCCTCAACCACTGCCTGCATCTTAACACACCCAGCAGGAAGGAGGAGAGCTGGGCGAGGGCGTCAGGAATGTCAATTTGAAAAATTGCCAAAGAACTAATACTTTACTTCACATGCATTTCAGAACATCACAGAAGGATAGATAATTCAATAACTTGTTATGACAAAAGGCGAACCACTTGGCGAAAAAATAAAGGTAAATGTTTATCTAACTCCTATGCCAAGATAGCCTCCAGGTGGATTACATGTGAAAGGTAAAACCCAGATCCATAAAAGACCCAGAAGAACGTATGGTTTAATAATTTTATAATTTCGTCCTAGGAAAGGTTTTCCTAACCATGGTAATAACAAAGGCAGAAACAGTAAAGAATAAGATTGCTGGATTTGATTGCATTAAAATCCAATACTTCTGTGTCAAAAACACCGTTAACTGAAGTTAACACATGACAAGCTAGGAAAATATTAATAATTGTCATATTTAAAGAGACCATACAAATCAATGAGAGAAAGAAAATATTTCAATGGAAATTTGGCAAAGGATAGCAACTCACACACACAAAAAATAGAATTAAGGAAAAGTACTTAGACTTACTAATTTTTAAAAGTGCTAATTGAAACAAAGAAAATTTTTCCCTAGCTAGTGAATGGCAAAATATTGCAATGGGGACTAGGGAAATGGACGTTTTCATCCATGTGTAAATTGAGACAGTCATTCTGATTAGACATTTGCTAATATGTTTCAAAAAGTCCTAAAAATATACATTTGACTTCCACAGTTTTTTTCCTCAGGAAAAGAAAAAATAAGGTAACTGAATCCTAAATGTGGAATGAAAGCTGCAGAATTCTGCAGTAAATTCTAAAGTGAATTACTGACTTGGAAAGGACTCTTGGTTCCTTTGAAGGGAGGGGCTGCCCCAGAAGCTTGCATGAGATGGCATGATGCTCAAGGGCTTCATTTTCTGCCACAATCTCAACAGAGTCTTTGGATCTAGAGTGGTAGAATGAGGATCTGCCCTCCTGGAAGAGTTTATCAGAATAATTTCCATTATGCCTCAAGTCTGTGTTTACTCCCCCCATCAGAAATGCAAACCCCTTTAGTCATCTCTTAAGAACTGTGTTTTATGAGCCCCCATCCCATCCCACTACTCTGTACATTCACTGAACTAACCAGTCTTCCCATCCCTCAAAACCATTGTACTATATCCAGCATGGAGACCAGTGCTTGGGAGAAAGCTGGCTTTCTTTAAGGCCCCTCCTGCTCAGTGGCCATGCTCGAGTAGCTGGACCTACCAGAAAGAAAGGAGTCTGTGGTTTAGTGCAATTCTCTGGAAAGGTTGTTGATCCCTCGGCTAGAGCCTACAAGTGTCTCTTGACTTGCCAGCTATTTCTCAGGCCTGGAAGTCATCTTGGCCTCTCCTTGGACAAGCCAGTCCTGTTCTCTGCAGCTATTTCTGTCTCTTTGCACAATTATGTCTTGTGTTTGATCTCACTATTCTTACCTGATTTATAAATTCAGGATACTAGTAATTTGGGCTTAATAATGCCTAGTGTATGCGTCTTAGCTTTTGTAACCTCAAAATTCCCTCAACTATTCAAATATAAATTATTTATCCTTAAGGGATCTATTTATGCAGGCTTCAGCTGTTTTTAAATTCTTGCCATTTATTTCTACCATGTAACTTGCTGTGCCTTTCTTTATTTAGCATCTTGAGGGAGTTGCTTATAAACCAGAAGATGGGAAGGAAAGTTTGGGAGGTGGGGACAGATGCCCTGCACTTAGTATATATTTTCTTCTATTTCCAGGGCTATGGGCCCGGCCTCATTTCCTG